TCTGTTTTCACACACAAAATTGTAACTGTTAAGAAACTGTGTTTGTTAATACTTGTGTTATATTTAAACAAACTATGCTTTTTCCCCCTTTCCTGTCTTCTCCTTCCCCCATTTAATTGCCTTAGGTACTTAAACTTCACCCTTGTTTAGCCCCTATTAAGGTTGCTTTGGATGTAGGAAGAGGCCCCACATTGGAACTAAGACAGGTGAGTTAAATGAGTTTAAATGTCATGATTTTAATTACAGGTTGAGTATTACCCAAAACACTTTGGACCAGGACCGTTTTGGATCTCGGATTTTTTTGGTATATTTGCATCTCTAATCCAAAAATCCAAAATCTTAAATGTTCTGATGAGCATTTCCTTTGAACTCAAGGTTTCAGGTTTTGGAGCATTTTGGATTTTGGGTTTTCTGATTAGGGATGCTCAACCTAACCATTACTCTAAACTTGATAGCTTGCCATTTAAAATTTTATTTTGATTCATTTGCTTTTTAAAATGTTTTAGGCCGCGTGCAGTGGCTTACGCCTGTAATCCCAGCACTTGGGGAGGCCAAAGCGGGCGGATCACGAGGTCAGGAGATGGAGACCATCCTGGCCAAGGTGGTGAAACCCCATCTACTAAAAATACAAAAATTAGCTGGGTGTAGTGGCGCTCACCTGTAATCCCAGCTACTCAGGAGGCTAAGGCAGGAGAATCACTTGAACCCGGGTGGCAGAGGATGCAGTAAGCTGAGATCACACCACTGCTCTCCAGCCTGGGCAACAGACTCCGTCTCAAAAAAAAAAAAAAAAGTTTTAATTTGCCTGGCCAACATGGCAAAACCTGGTCTCTACTAAAAATACAAAAATTAGCTGGGCATAGTGGTGTGTGCCTGTAATTCCAGCTATTCAGGAGGCTGAGGCATAAGAATCACTTGAACCTGGGAGGTGGAGGTTGCAGTGAGCTGAGATCGCACCACTGCACGCCAGCCTGGGTGACAGAGCAAGACCCTGTTTCAGGGAAAAAAACAAAAAACCTTTAATTAAATAATGAACTGTGGGTAAGTACTGTGATTATATATAATTTTGAAGTGTGTTAAAGAAGCTGAATATAATTCAGTGGGTTTGCTGTTCATGTCCATAGTTTAATTTTTTTAGTGCGTGAGTAGACATAGTAATTAAAATATTTGTACAGATGTTAGTGAATTATTTCTTTCCTCTTTGAACTTTTTTTTTTTGAGACAGAGTCTCGCTCTGTCACCCAGGCTGGAGTGCAGTGGCACGATCTCGGCTCACTGCAAACTCTGCCTCCCAGGTTCAAGCAATTCTCCTGCCTCAGCCTCCCTAGTAGATAGGATTACAGGTGACCACACCTGGCTAATTTTTTAGTATTTTTAGTAGAGACAGGGTTTCATCATGTTGGCCAGGCTGGTCTCTAACTCCTGACTTCAAGTGATCCACCCACCTCGGCCTCCCAACGTGCTGGGATTACAGGCGTGAGCCACCATGCCTAGCCTTTCCCCTTTGAACTTAACACTTTTGATAACTGACTATATTCAAATATTCTAGATATATAATTTGATTTTTCTAATTTGTTCTGATGATTAAATACTCTTAAGAAAAGCCATGGGGGATGGCTTTCATTTCGTTCCACAGACTTCTTCAGCAGTCATCATTTCTGTCTGGGTAATTGAGACCCAGTCCAGACGTGAACGTGGACACTAAAACGATTTAAAGACTTTGAGAGTCCCTCAGCTTTCTGACCCTGGCTTCTGTGGAGAGGTCTGGGAAGATGGGAGATAGTGAACTCAAAGAAGATACTGGCTTATGTCCCACATTTTCTCCCAGGGTATGGCAGCCTCCCTAATGCACTTACAGCTAGGAAACTCCTAGGGTGATGTAGCTCAGTCACCATTTAGTAATGTCTGGAGAGATTTGTGGTTGTCCTAAGAGTGGGAGGGTGCTGCGGGCCTCTCCTGGAGGCCAGGAATGCTGCTAAACACCCTGGGTCAGCAGTGCCAGGGTAAGGAACCCTGCTCTGGACTGTTGGTGCTAGACTGTTAAGGGGGTTTTAAATTATGCTTTGTTTTGCTTCCCTATTGCTTGTTAAGAAAACAGTAAAGTTTACTATGTCATTTATTCATCATTACTTCTGTATTTCCAGTCAAGCTTTTGTCTCCAGCATTCATGTGAAATTGGTTGATCAGTCTCGAAACATTTTCCATGGTTGGCTTCTGGAGTACTCCTCTCCTTTTCCTCATCCTTTTTCTTTCCTGGCTCTTCTTCCTCTTCCTGACTTGGTGGTATAACCTAGGGCTCAGGTCTTACCTCTCAGATGAGGGCTCTGAGTTCATACAGCCCTTTGCATCTCCTGGTTTTTTTTCTGACAGAATCTGTTTTGATTTTGTGTTTTGAATGATGATAATAAAAATTCTTATTTGGCATACAGATTTCTCAGAAGATTGGCATTTAGTACTCAGCTTTGCAATGCTTACTTCATTTTCAGAAGTATACAATTTATGAAGTATATGATATGGAAGTTATAAACATTAACATCACATAAAGAAACATACCCATTTTAGAGATTGAAGAGGGTGATCTGTGGCTTCACAAAAATAGGATAATCACTCTAACTACCATTATTTCTTTCATATTTGAAGTTTTTCTATTTCTTTCTAGGTTTGTCAAGGGCTGTTTAATGAGTTACTAGAAAATGGAATTTCTGTGTGGCCTGGTTATTTGGAAACTATGCAGTCCTCATTGGAACAACTTTATTCAAAGTAAGAATTGTATTATCATTAAAGAGTGTATTTCTTCAACAGTTTTTGATTATGTTTCTTTATGAATTACAGAAACAAATCTCTTCTAAATTTATATATAAAATACAATTTTAAATTATTCCTCACTTCCCTTTTTACAGAACTATGTATACTTAGTTCATTGCTACAGCAGGGAACAGGATTCAGCAAAGTGTGTTTGAGCACATGCCATGTGCAGTTCCAAGACTTAATGGCATGAAGTTTGTATACCTCAGCTTATCCACTTATGGATGAAAGTATGTATGTAGACAGCATGTGTTGAATCAAGACTAAAGGAATATGAGTGGAATGCCTGTCTTTGCTGGCATTGTGGTCCATTCTGAGACTGAGTGGAAAGGAATTCTATTCTGGAGGGATAGTCTATTCTAGTCTTCTAAGGGATTGGCACCTCTGTTCACCCAATTGCTCAAGACAGAGAAACTGGCTGTCATCCTTAACTCCTCCCTCTTCCTTATACTCTATATCTAGTCCATCACCAAATGCTGTAAGCTTGCCTTCTAAATGTATCTCAAATCCATCTCTGTCTTCGCTGCCACTACCCAAGCTAGAGTCAACAATATCTCTTGCCTGGATTATTGAAATCATCTCCTAATTGAGCTCTCTGTGTCTAGTCTCACCCCATGCTATCTCATTAATTGTTGTTTTTAAATAATCCATTCTTGTTATATTTTTAAAACTTTTTGCGTTGAATGTGTATCTTTTGGGTGAAAAGTTGTGAAGCATGGTGTTTTGATCTTAAGTTCTCTGAAAATTTGTTAAAATACACCTTCCAGGCCAGGCGTAGTGGCTCACACCTGTAATCCCAGCACTTTGGGAGGTCGAGGTGGGCGGATCACCTGAGGTCAGGAGTTCAAGACCAACCTGGCCAACATAGCGAAACACCGTCTCTACTAAAAATACAAAAAATTACCCAACGATGGTGGCTTGTGCCTGTAGTCCTAGCTACTTGGGAGGCTGAGGCAGGAGAATTGCTTGAACCCAGGAGGCAGAGGTTGCAGTGAGCTGAGATCGAGCCACTGCACTCCATCCTGTGCAACAGAGCAAGACTCCTTCTCAAAAAAAAAAAAAAAATACACCTTTCAGATGATGTCCAAAGAAAAGATGATTATAGATGCTCTATAATTAGAGCATCTAATGGTTTTATTATGTATAAAATGAAGGGGCAGCACTTGAATTTTCTTGTCCTCTCAGGTTCTAAAATCTTATACTTTGAGCCATGTGGACATTATCAAGTTGCAGTTGTTCTTTATATGGTAAAGGTTTTATTGTCCGAGGATATTTTTATGAAAATATTATTAAGCACCTACTATATTTTATGCACTTTGATATAGTAGTGAACAAGATAGAAAAATTTACTATTCTTTTTTTTTTTTTTTTTTTTTTTTTTTTTTTTTTTTGAGACGGAGTCTCGCTCTGTCGCCCAGCCTGGAGTGCAGTGGCCGGATCTCGGCTCACTGCAAGCTCCGCCTCCTGGGTTTACGCCATTCTCCTGCCTCAGCCTCCCGAGTAGCTGGGACTACAGACGCTCGCCACCTCGCCCGGCTATTTTTTTGTATTTTTTTACTAGAGACGGGGTTTCACCGGGTTAGCCAGGATGGTCTCGATCTCCTGACCTCGTGATCCGCCCGTCTCGGCCTCCCAAAGTGCTGGGATTACAGGCTTGAGCCACCGCGCCCGGCCTTTTTTTTTTTTTTTTTTTTAGACAGAGTCTCACACTGTCTCCCGGGCTGGAGTGCAATGGTGTGATCTCGGCTCACTGCAACCTCTGCCTCCCGGGTTCAAGCGATTCTCCTGCCTCAGCCTCCCTAGTAGCTGAGATTACAGGCACCCCATGCCCAGCTAATTTTTTGTAGTTTTAATAGAGATGGGGTTTCACTATGTTGGCCAGGCTGGTCTCGAACTCCTGACCTCGTGATCCGCCCACCTCGGCCTCCCAAAGTGCTGAGATTACAGGCATGAGCCACCACGCCTGGCAATACTATTCTTGTTAAGCTTATGTTCTAGGAGGACAAAATAGACAATAAACAAACAGAAATAAAAAGTTTCTGATGAAGTCCTACAAAAGAAATAAACAGTAATGAGATAGTGTGACTTGGTAAGCATACAGAAGGTCAGCCGTGCGTCTGTCTGTTTGGTTATTACTGAACTAGAAGCTATAAGCTAGCATACTCAGTAATAAATGAAACATGATTTTGGTATAATTTGTTATACCAAATTGCATCTTTATTATAATATTGTTTATTGTAAGAGACTTCCGTCTAAAATAATTGTTCTAGGATTGCGTCCAAGAACCAAAAGGCGGAGATTATGAGGTTCATCTGTGTTATCACCCCAAATGCCCAAATGATGTGTTGAGGTACCAGTGTTTATTCTCAGATTTGATTTTATGACTTTTCAGCTCTAGCAATAAGTTAGAAACTGTCTGAAAATTTTACTTTAAATACGATTCAGAACTTTACAAATGTTGGGTTTTTTTGATCACCCTCAAGCCCTGACTGAGTTTGTGACTCTTGAGAGTGCATGGACACTGGCATGACAGCTGGCAACGTGGAGGAATTTATCATTTACATTTGTGCTCATGTGTCTGTTTAACTACTTTGTTCTTAGGTATGATGAAATGAGTATCCTCTTCACAGTTTTGATCACTGAAACTACTTTGGAGAATGGATTAATACATCTGAGAAGCAGAGACACGACAATGAAGGAAATGATGCATATATCCAAATTAAAAGACTTTTTGATTAAGTATATATCATCAGCTAAGAATGTATAGATTTTTATATTTGTATAATAAATATTCTTCTTTCCTAATTTGGTTGTCTTATGTTCACTCAGATTCATTTCTAGCCCCTTTGCACTTATGAAGTGGACATTTGTGGTGCTTGCTTTCATTCAGTGTTTATATTTTTGATGTCTTTCATTGTATCAGGAATATGTTCAGCTACAAGAAACAAAAATCTATACTGGATTAAGCAAATTGGGGTTTGTTTTTCTCATATACAAGAACTCCACAGGGTAGACTGTCCAAAGCGAGTATTACTGTTCCTATAGTTAGGGACCCAGGCACTTCCTTTCTGTTCTGCCATCTTTTCGTACGCTGGTGTTTATCTTCATAATTGTCGCTTCAGGATCATAGGTGGCTGTGTATCTAGTTAGGAGAAAAGTTAAAGAGACAAGAGCTAGTCAGCCAAGACTCTTCCCTTTTAAATTAGGAAAGTAAAAACTTTTCCAGACATCCCAGTTGGAAGATGTCTTTACATCTCTTTGGTCAGAACTAAGTCAAATGATGATTTCTAGACAAATCACTATCCAAGGGAATGAAAATGATTTAGATCAAACAATTTATTCCTTGAGGCTGCGATAGTATCTTCCTCTCTCAGAAATGGGCTTTGTTACCAGGAAGGGAAAGGTCTCTATGGAATCTGCCACATCTATACTGTCAGGTATCAAAAATTAACCTAAAAATAAACTTTTAAAACTTAGAGTATTTATGGATTTTTGAAAAGCAAACTAAAATATATGTTAGATGTCATCTATTGTGGTTTGTTTCCTGTCTAATATCTATGTTTATAAGAAACCTTTTCTGTGTTGATATGATTGTGTAAAATATCCCATTGTTACCAACTTGACAAAAATTCCAACTGACAGTGCCTGTAAAATATTTCAAAAGTTTGGCTAACTTATCTTAATTGATTTTACTTGGTAGGTTTTTCTCTTTTTTATTTTTAACTTTAATTTTAATTTTTTTGTAGAGACACAGTCTCACCATGTTGGCTAAGCTGGTCTTGCGCTCCAAGCCTCAAGCAGTCCTCCCGCCTTGACCTCCTAAAGTGGTAGGATAACAATTGTGAGCCACTGCACCCAGCCTCGTTTTGGTTATTTTATGCTTTTTTTTTTTTTTTTAATGGAGAATTTTAAAAACAGACATATAATTAATAGTACTAATCCCGTGTACTGATTATCTAGCACCAACAATAGCCAACCTTTGGCCAGTCCCACCTCATCCACCAATACCGCCCTTCCATATTATTTCAGTTATTTATTTAAATTTATTTAGCACCAACAACAGCCAACCTTTGGCCAGTCCCACCTCATCCACCAATACCGCCCTTCCATATTATTTCAGTTATTTATTTAAATTGATTTAGCACCAACAACAGCCAACCTTTGGCCAGTCCCACCTCATCCACTAATACCGCCCTTCCATATTATTTCAGTTATTTATTTAAATTGATTTATTAATATACAAGACAGGGTCTCACTATGTGGCCCAGGCTGCTCTTAAACTCCCAGGCTCAAGTGGTCCTCCTGTCTCAGCCTCCCAAAATATGGGAATTACAGGCATGAACCACCTCGCCTGGCCTCCTTGAATATTATTGCAAGGCAGAGAGCAGATACCATTTAATCTGGAAATATTTTATTTAAGGATCTTTTGTTAATAACCACACCATTATCACATTAAAAAAATAACACTACATGATATCAAGGAGTTATTTACAATTTTCTTGGGTGTGATAATGGTGTTTATATTTTTCTTTTTAAAAAAATCCTTCTCTGACAGATACATAAGTTTATGGTATCTGAGACTTGGTTTATAATTCTCCTGTTTAGAAAAAACTTTAAGTGGTAAGAGATGAAATAATAGCACTGAGTTGGCCAGGCATGGTGGCTCACACTGCCAAGGCAGGTGGATTACCTGAGGTCAGGAGTTCGAGACCAGCCTGGCCAACACCGTGAAACGCTGTCTCTACTAAAAATACAAAAAATTAGCTGGGTGTGGTGGTGGGTGCCTGTAATCCCAGGTACTCGGGAGGCTGAGGCAGGAGAATCGCTTCAACCCAGGAGGCAGAGGTTGCAGTGAGCCGAGATTGCGCCATTGTACTCCAGTCTGGGTGACAGAGTGGGACGCCGTCTCAAAAAAAAAAAAAAAAAAAAAGGAAGTGGTAGTAGTGAGTGTCTGGTTATTTCTTTTCGTTTTTGGAGTTGCCAGCAACCACTGATTAATAATACCTCAAGTGGTGAGTTCATTAAAGCTTGCAAAATGGTGATTTTCTCTCTTCCTCCTTTGTTTGCTAGAGTACTTTTTTGGGGGTTTTTTTGTTGTTTTGTTTTTTGAGATGGAGTTTCGCTCTTGTTGCCCAGGCTGGAGTACAATGGCGCGATCTCGGCTCATTGCAACCTCTGCCTCCCAGGTGAGGTGGGAGAATTACTTGAGCCAGGAAGGTCAAGACTGCAGTGAGCTGTGATCCCATCATTGTACTGCAGCCTGGGCAAGAGAGTGAGCCCCTGTCTCCAAAAAAAAAAAAAAAAAGAAGAAGAAGAAGAAAAGAAGTGTGGGCTCTGGTGTCACTCAGATCTGAGTTCCTTTCCTGTTTCCAACAGGTGTTAGCTGAATGAACTTGTGAGTCATTTTTTTTTTTGTATGAAAAGAGGGAAATAAGAGTACCTGCCCCAGGCCAGGCACGGTGGCTCACACCTGTAATCCCAGCACTTTGGTAGGCTGAGGCAGGTGGATCTCCTGAGATCAGGAGTTCGAGACCAGCCTGGCCAACATGGTGAAACCCCATTCTCTACTAAAAATACAAAATTAGCCAGGTGTGGTGTCATGTCCCAGCTGCTCAGGAGGCTGAGGCAAGAGAATCACTTGAACTCGGGAGGCAGAGGTTGCAGTGAGCCAAGATCGCGCCATTTCACTCCAGCCTGGGGAACAAGAGCAAAACTCCGTCTCAAAAAAAAAAAGAAAAAGAAAAAAAGTACCTGCCCCAAAGAGGTATTGTGGGACTATATGAGGACAGGCACATAAAGCACTTAGTAATAGTACCTGGAACATGCTATAAGCTCAATACATATATTATTGTTGTTATTTTTAATTAATTAATGTATTTATTTACCTACTGAGACAGGGCCTCACTCTCTTGCCTAGGCTGGAGTGCAGTGGTACACTGTAGCCTTGACCTCCCAGGCTCAAGCAGTCCTCCCAGCTCAGCCTCCTGAGTAGCTGGGCCTACAGACATGCTAATTTTAGTGGCAGTGATGCCTGGCTAATTTTTGTATTGTTTGTAGAGGCAGGATTTTACCACATTGCCCAGGCTAGTCTTGAATTCCTGGGCTCAAGCAATCCTTCTGCCTTGGCCTCCCAGGGTATTGGGATTATAGGCGTGAGCCACCACACCCAGCCCTATTGTTGCCATTGTTGTAGTTGTTGTGATAGAGGAAATGTTGGGAGGTGGTGTATCAGCCACCTCTGTGTCCTGCGTCATATCCCTGGGCCTTCCCTCTGACCCAGCTACATCTGAGGGTCTACTCACTTTGCACTGATAGCTTCTTGCTTCAACTGCATAATACACATGTTCACTTTCTGTCCTGGGGTGTTTGCAGTGCCTGGGGTGAGACACTGAGGGAAGCCTGCTTGGAATACCCACATGCTAGTCTAGAAGTGGGGGAGGTGTCACTTCCTGGGATGATCCTCAACCAATGAGGGCTGGACACCAATGGATAAATACCTCTCACTATCAATCCTCAAGTGGACAATACTGAGAAGAGGCTCTTGGACTCTTCAGAAGATTCCAGTGGACTTACATCCAGCTGCCCACCACAGTGCCCAACTCAGCAAAACACCCTGTACTGGCTTTTGCTGTGGCGCACTGGGCTTGCTTCCTAGGGCCACCTCCTATGTAAATGATTTTCACAAAAGGCCTTATTTCAGGCTCTGCTTTCAGGTCTAGTCCAGGATAAAAGACAGGACCAGAAGGCCCTAGAAAGCAGCCTCAGGGAACAAATGAACCCCTAGGAATGGATGGCAACAAGGACTCCCTTGCTGGTGATAGGTAGGCAGTGAGAACCCTTAGCACACCACAGCTCCACAGTTCCTAAAACCTTCCCTTGCCATGTGGAATGAGGTTTAGAAAGAAAAGAGGCAGTGAATGCCAGCATTCCAGCACTTGAAAAGTTTGGGGCAATGCTAATTATGTGGATTGTGAAGCTAGTTGGCTTCTCTTAGCTGCCTTAGAAGCTTTGCAAGGAGAAAATGAGAGGCTACCAGTTCAGGGCAAGCTGTGAAACCCCAAGGATAGGGTTTAAGCCACCCTCATTTATCACAGCCAGCTGGAAGACTGTGCTCAAAGCCAGTTCCAGGATCTGATCAAAATGGTGGGGCAACCAAGGAGGAGATGGAATGAGCACGTCTAGCAGTTCTGTTCTGCTAACTTCTGACACTGACAGGGGCTGGGTAGGCCTTGGGATGTGGACATTTGAGAATATGAAACTCCCAAAGCCCGCAAGCTCTCTTGAGAAGGAGAACAGCCCCTCTTCTTAGAAGACCTCACATGAGGCAGGCGCCTCACAATATTTTTTAAATTATTGTGGTAAGTTATACCTAACATAAAATTTACCATTTTAACCAATTTTAGGTGTGTAATTCAATGGGATTAAAAACATTCATTCATATTGACCGGCACAATAGCTCACACCTGTAATCCCAGCACTTTGGAAGGCCGAGGCAGGCAAATCACTTGAGGTCAGCAGTTTGAGACCAGCCTGGCCAACATGGTGAAACCTCATCTCTACTAAAAATACAAAAATTAACTGGGTGTGGTGGTGGTGCCTGTAATCCCAGCTACTCGGGAGGCTGAGGCACAAGAATCACTTGAACCTGGAAGGCAGAGGTTGCAGTGAGCCTAGGTCATACCACTGCACTCCAGCCTGGGCGACAGAGAGAGACTCTGTCTCAAAAAAACAACAAAAACAAAACTCATATTATTGTGCAACCATCACCACTTTCCATCTTTTTTCCAGAACTTTTTTGTCTTCCCAAACTGAAACGCTGTACCCGTTAGCCAGTCACTCCTAATTGTCCCCGGACCCCAGCCCCTGGGAACCACCATTTTATTTGCTTCACTATATTTTGCTTGTCTTCTTTAAGATCCACCCCTGTCTCCCTTATAGCTTAATAACCAGGGTCGGGTCTCAGCGGAGCCTGACGGGGGAAGGGCAGTTCCTGATGCTGAGCCACACAAAGACTGCAGCATCTGCGGGTGCACTCCTCCAGGAGCCAGGGGAGCCTACAGCAGCCTGGGTCTGAGCGTGCTAAGGCGGTGAATGTGGATTTAAGACTACATCAGGAAATGGAGGGCCAGGCAAGGTGGCTCACGCCTGTAATCCCAGCACTTTGGGAGGCCGAGGTGGGCGGATCACTTGAGGTCAGGAGTTGAAGACCAGCCTGGCCAACATGGCGAAACCCTGTCTCTACTAAAAATACAAAAATTAGCCGGGGATGGTGGCACATGCTTGTAATGCCAGCTACTTGAGAGGCTGAGGCAGGAGAATCGCTTGAACCTGAGAGGCGGAGGTCGCAGTGAGCCAAGATCGCACCATTGCACTCCAGCCTGGGCGACAGAGTCAGACTCCGTCTCCAAAAAAGAAAAAGGAAATGGAGGTTTAGCGTCATGTCAAGGACACCTGGAACTGGTCCTAAACATGCATGATGGGTCTCCTTGAAGCTTGAATCCCACAGGACTCTATAGCTGAGTGGTTTAATACGAGATCCACAGCAAACCAGAGGCAATACTACATTCTGAGGGAAATAGGGCAGTTGTACTTGTTAAAATGATAGGATTTTTGGATATGCTGGGTTAAATAAAATATATTATTCCAATTCATTTCGCCTGTTTCTCTTCTTTTCTTCTTTTCTTCCTTCCTTTCTTTTTTTTTTTTTTTTTTTCTTCTTTTCTTTCATTTCTTTTTTTAACACAGGTCTCACTCTGTTGCCCAGGCTGGAGTGCTGTGGTGCAATCTCGGCTCACTGCAACCTCCGCCTCCCAGGTTTGAGCAATTCTTGTGCGTCAGCCTCCTAAGTAGATGGAATTACAAGCACCCACCACTACGCCCAGCTAATTTTTTTGTATTTTTAGTAGAGATGGGGTTTCACCATGATGGCCAAGCTGCTCTTGAACTCCTGACCTCAAGTGATCCACCCACCTCAGCCTCCCAAAGTGCTGGGATTATAGGCGTGAGCCACCATGCCCGGCCATCTTTTCATTTTTTTATTGTGTCTACTAGAAAGAGTGAAAAGTGTGCCCATGTGGCTGACATTATATTTCTATTGGACAGTGGTGACCAGTGGAAAATATCATGGAGATGCCAGACAGGTGTGAGAATACTGAAGAGTCAGAAGGCTCAGAGAAGGATGCATGTTCAGATGAATTTATTCTGGGAGACCCTTTCTTTACTAAAGCATTTCAGGGCCGGGCACATTGGCTCATACTTGTAATTCCAGCACTTTGGGAGGCCGGGGTAGGCAGATCATCAGAGGTCAGGAGTTCGAGACCAGCCTGGCCACTATGGTGAAACCCCATCTCTACTAAAAACACAAAAATTAGCTGGGTGTGGTGGTGGGTGCCTGTAATCCCAGCTACTTGGGAGGCTGAGGCATGAGAATCACTTGAATCAGGAAGGTGGAGATTGAATTGAGCTGAGATCGTGCCACTGAACTCCAGCGTGGGCAACAGAGTGAGAATCCATCTCAAAAAAAAAAAAAAGAAGAAGAAGAAGAAGAGAGAGAGACAAGAGAGAACATAAAAGGCCATGTGAAGACAGAGGCAGAAGTTGAAGTGAGGCAACCACAAGCAATGTCTGGAGCCCCAGAAGCTGGAAGAGGCAAGGAGGCTCCCCACGAGAAATTTTGGATGGAGCACAGCTCTACAGACAACTTGGTTTTGGACTTCTAGCCTCCAGAACTGTGAAATGGTTGCTCTAAGCCACCAATTTGTGGTCATTTGTGGCAGCAGCCCTAGGGGACTAAAACATTCTCCCTCCCCACAACTCAACAACGTGGACTCTCTCCCTGGAACGTGACCAGGAAAGGCAGCACATCAAGGCACACCTTTGGCATTAGTTAAATCGGGAGGGTGAGCTAAATCATGAACATTAATGAACATCTTTTTTTTTTTTTTTTGAGATGGAGTCTCATCTTGTCGCCCAGGCTGTAGTGCAGTGGCACGATCTTGGCTCACTGCAACCTCTGCCTCCCAGGCTCAAGTGATTCTCCTGCCTCAACCTCCTGAGTAGCTGGGACTACACACACGCACCACCACACCCGACTAATTTTTTTATTTTTAGTAGAGACCAGGTTTTTGCCATGTTGGCCAGGCTCATCTCGAACTCCTGACCTCAAGTAATCCACCTGCCTCAGCCTCAAGTTTGCTTTTTGTTCATGGAAATCAGCTTCATAAAAACCATCTTACCCTGAGATGTAGTTTGTTTCTGTAAATTTCAGAAGTTGAGTTCGGAATAGACATATCCAGGTTTATAAGAATCACAGGCTTCTGAAATATAAGAGGGAAAATAATTTCCTTAGGATATGTGACAGGCGAGGCTGTTTTTAAAAATCCTATTTCTAGTAGCTGGGTGGCCTGACAGAACCAGGTATTAACTAATTTTTTCCTGGACTGTGTTAAATAATTTATTCTTGAAAATGTTAGCTGGGCATAATGCCTCATGCTTGTAATCCCAACACTTTGGGAGGCTGAAGCAGGAAGATTGGTCAAGCCCAGGAGTTCCAGACCAGCTTGGGCAATATAGCAAGATACCTGTCTCTACCAAAAAAAAAAAATTAGTCAGACATGATGGTGCACACCTGTAGTCCCACAACTCAGGAGCTTGAGGTGGGTTGATTGCTTCAGCCCAAGAGGTAGAGGGTGCAGTGAGCTGAAATTGTGCCACTGCACTCTGGCCTGGGTGACAGAGTGAGAGTCTCAAAAAAAAAAGAAGAAAGGCAGGAAAGAAAGAAAGAAAAGAAAGAAAAAGGAAAGAAAGAAAGAAAGAGAGAGAGAGGAAAGGAAAGGAAAGGAAAGGAAAGGAAAGGAAAGGAAAGGAAAGGAAAGGAAAGGAAAGGAAAGGAAAGGAAAGGAAAGGAAAGGAAAGGAAAGGAAAGGAAAGGAAAGGAAAGGGAGGGGAGGGGAGGGGAGGTAAAAGAAAGACAGGAAGGAAGGAATGAAGGAAGGAAGAAAGGAAGGAAAAAGACAGGAAGGAAGGAGGGAAGGAAGGAAGGAGGGAAGGAGGGAGGGAGGGAGGGAGGAAAGAAGTGGGGAGGGAAGGAGGGAGGAAAGGAAGGAAATGTTTGAGTAATGATCCTGTATCCTTTTCTCTGGATTTTTTCTATGACATTCCCCCACCACATCTTTCCCTCTTCCCCACCCTCCATCCGCTGATGAGATTTTTTAGGAGCTAGGGTGCTGGTTGCCATTGGTTCCTTATGGTGTGCCTGCATTGCTCGCATCCACCCCATTCTCAGGCTCCTGAAGCCCCTGAGTATTGTGACATCACAGGGACTACCTGTCTCTAGTCACCAGCACCTCTTATCTCTTATCCCAAGCTGTGGCTCACCTTGCTGTCTTGGTGCCACCTCCTGGAACACGGGGGTGGCATACTGTAGCTCCTGGGAATGTTCGGCCTCTGGGCAAAAGATAAGAAATAGGAGTTATTGGGCCAATTATCTGAATTTCTAAGCACATGAGGGCAGTGGGATAGACACTGCAGAACATGCTCACCATCTTGGGCTGTGGAAACACATGGTCTGGATCCCACTTCTGGGACAGATCCCTCCTCTGTAAAATGAGAATGACATAAATTGGGGGTTGGTAGTATTTGTGTTAGAAAAGGTGGATAAATTACTCAGCACTGCGTCTGGAATGTGGTCATGTTGGCTGAGATTGTTCCATTGTCAGCTGATGATAGGGTTTGGCTGTGTCCTCACCCAAATCACATCTTGAATTGTAGTCCCCACAAACCCCACGTGTCATGGGAGGGACCAGGTGGAGATAATTAAATCATGGGGGTGGTTTCTGTCATACTGTTCTAGTGATAGTGAGTTAGTTCTCACAAGATCTGATGGTTTTGTAAGGTTTTTCCCCCTTCCCTTGGCTCTCATTCTTCTCTCTCCTGCTGCCTTGTGAAGAAGGATGTGTTTGCTTCCCCTTCTACCATGATTGTAAGTTTCCTGAGGCCTCCCAAGCCCTGTGGAACTGAGAGTCAATTAAACCTCTTTCCTTTATAAATTACCCCATCTCAGGTATGTCCTTATAATAGCAAGAAAATGGACTAATACATCAGCCAAGGCGTTGGGTCTTGTTTACTGCAAAGCAATGTGCAGTGCCTGCTTTGAGAGGTGACCATGAAAGACTGTGAAACACAGTGCGGATCATTCTGAACAGATGTGAAAAATCTTCAAGATATGGAAAAAAAAAAATCAAGGTGTAGAAAGTCATACCTACAATATGCTACAATTGCTACCATTTGTTTATTATACACATAGAATATCTGTGGAAGGATTTTTAAAAAACTAGTTTTTACCCCTAGAAAGTGGGACTGGGCATCAATAGACATTGAACTCTATCCCTTTTGCTCTACCCCCCACTCCCATATGTCTGTCAACCTTAACAAAATCAAAAGACAAAAACCTGAAACCACCCAAAACACACAACAAAGTTCTCTTACTTGCTTGTTTTCCATGGATATTTGCATAGATTCCAACTTCCACAGCTGTGTCTCCACAGTCCCTGGGCACATTATTTCTCATAGCTTTTCCTACATAAATCAGTACAGAATCATTAAATTAAACCAATTCAGCCACATTTCTCTCATCTCCTCAGCCAAGGAGCAGAACTCCCCAAAGTTCTGAAACAAGGAGTGACTTGTTCCAACGGCCCAAACTGTTGTCTAACAAAGGAATACTATAGACTCAGCAGGGAGTCTAGACACGGCTTCACCAAGCCAGGGGCTGTTCTGATTTATTTTCCTGGCTTTCAGAGGAACATGCTTTACCTATCAGATTATGCCTGAACTAGCCAGACTTATTTTCTTTCCTTCGCTGAAGAGAATATTCTGTGGAAGCTTTGTAATATCTTCAAGAGAGTGTAAATGGCCTACCGAATTCTTTTTTTTTTTTTTTTTTTAAGACAGAGTCTCGCTTTGTGGCCCAGGCTGGAGTGTCATGGTGCAATCTCCACTCACCACAACCTCCGCCTCCTGGTTTCGAGCAATTCTCCTGCCTCAGCCTCCCGAGTAGCTGGGATTACAGGCATGTGCCACCATGCCCAGCTAATTTTTTCTATTTTTAGTAGAGGTGGGGCTTCACTGTGTTGCCCAGGCTGGTCTCAAACTCCTGACTTCAGGTGATCAAAATGCTGGGATTATAGGCATGAGCCACTGTGCCCGGCCAGCCTTGCTGAATTCTATTGTTAGCTCCAGCCAATAATCAAAAATATTAATGCCACTTTTGCAATAACCTGGACTTTTTATAGGAAGGAGAAACATGTTTTTAAGACATATGAGATGTGGGCCAGGGTGCAGTGGCTCACGCCTGTAATTCCAGTGCTTTGGGAAGCTGAGGTGGGAGGATCACTTGAGGCCAGGAATTTAAGACCAGCCTGGGGAACATAGTGAGACATTGTCTCTAAAAAGAATTTTGTAATTAAAAAAAAAAATACTGTAATCCCAGCACTTTGGGAGGCTGAGGCAGGAGGATGATTTGAGTCCAGGAGTTCAAGACTAGCCTGGGCAACATGGTGAAACCTACAAAAAAAAAAAAAAAAACTTAGCCAGGAATGGTGCACGCCTGTGGTCCCAGCTACTCAGGTAGCTGAGGCAGGAGGGGGCCTGGGAGGTCGAGGTTGCAGTGAGCCATGATTGCACCACTGCACTCCAGCCTTGGGTGATGGAAGTGAGATCCTATCTCAAAAAAATATATAGATAGATGGATAGATAGATAGATAGATATATAAACACACACACACACATACACACACACATATATATACACATATACATATATATATACACATGTATGGGATTACAGCTGGGGCTGTAATACAGCTCCAGCACTTTGGGTGGCCGAGATAGGCAGATCACGAGGTCAGGAGTTCAAGACCAGCCTGGCCAACATAGTGAAACCCCGTCTCTACTAAAAATACAAAAATTAGCCGAGCATGGTGGTGGGCACCTGTAATCCCAGCTACTTGGGATGCTGAGGCAGGAGAATCGCTTGAACCTGGTAGGTGGAGGTTGCAGTGAGTGGAGATTGTGCCACTGCACTTTAGCCTGGGCAACAGAGTGAGGCCCCATCTCTTAAAAAATGAAATGAAATAAAATAAAATCTTAAAGATGCATCAGATGTATAACTCGTGACCTCTGTGGTCAAGTTTTATGTCAGCTGAGTCCCTGACTTCTCTGAGTTGTGACTCTCTGGAGATGGTTCCCAATTGGTTCTCTTGCCAGTTCTGACAATATCTCCATGGCCCATTCCACAAGTCAGAACACCAAGGCTCAGAAGCAACAGCCTGAGGGGCTTGTCCAATAGCCCTCAGCTTGCTGATGGGCACCAGTGCTGAGACACAAACTGTCTTTTGTGTAAATCTTCATATTCTTCCACACTCATGTGCCAAATGAAAAAACCACTTTGAAGTCTTAACCAGCGGTGGCCATAAGACGTGAGGAATGAAAAGCAGTAAGTGGGCTGAGTACAGTGGCTCATGCCTGTAATCCCAGCACTTTGGGAGGCTGAGGTGGGAGGATCGCCTGAGTCCAGGAGTTCAAGACCAGCCTAGGCAACATAGTGAGACCCCTGTCTCTAAAAAACATTTTTTTAAAAAAAAAAGCTATAACTGATTCTTCTAATAACACTGACAAGTTTTCTGCTGGATGAAGCACTTAAGGTGGGGAAGAGAGAAATGATGCTTTTTTGTTTCTGTTTTTGTTTTTTTTGAGTCTGGTGTGTTTAATAAGGTTTTAAAAAAAAAAACAAATCTTATAGTAGAATAGATTATACTTTTACATTGAAAATCTAGAAAGCATAGAAATGTAGAAAGAAAAAATATATATATATTAGGTTGGTGCAAAAGTAATTATGGGCCGGGCATAATGGCTCACGTCTGTAATCCCAGCACTCTGGGAGGCTGAGGCAGGCAGATCACCTGAGGTCAGGAGTTCAAGACCAACTTGATTAACATGGTGAAACCCCGTCTTTACTAAAAATACATGGTGATGGGTGCCTGTAATCCCAGCTACTCAGGAGGCTGAGGCAGGAGAATCGCTTGAACCAGGGAGACAGAGGCTGCTGTGAGCCGAGACTGCACCACTGCACTCCAGCCTGGGCAACAGAGCAAGACTCCATTTCAAAAAAAAAGAAAAAAAAGTAATTGCGGGTTTTGCCATAAATGTAATGGCAAAAATTGCAATTACTTATGCACCAACCTAATATTTTTAATACTTCCAGCCCCAAACAATTGTAAACCTTTTGAAGGTGTCTTTTGTGCTAATGGGATGACGCTTGCTTGTCCTCATGCACTGAGCCTCCCCTACGTATGTGGCAGATCTAGAGTCGCACGAGGCAAAGCTCTTGCTTGAGGTACTTGCAGTCAGGAGCAGCCACACCACTCGCAGTGCCCAGGGCGAAACGAACATTGTTCACATGCCTAAAACTTGTGTTTAATTAAGAACACAAGTTCTTGGCCCGGCACAGTGGCTGACGCCTGTAATCCCAACACTTTGGGAGGCCGAGGCGGGAGGATTGCTTGAGCCCAAGAGTTCAAGACCAGCCTGAGCAACATAGTGAGGCCCCGTCTCTATTTAATATAGAATAAAAAAATAAGAGAGAGAGAGAGAGAGAAAAAGGAACACAAGTTCTTAAAGTCATGACCAAGTACGTCTTTCACAAGAAGTCATACAAAGAAGAGAAAAGGGCCTCTTGTTTAAAAACATTAATAATTGCACACCCACGTTCCTAGCATTATTAAACAATAGACAAAAGGTGGAAGCAACACGGGCACCCATGAGGGATAAATGGATAAACAAGGTGTGGCGTACTTATGTACAATGGGGCATTCTTCAGCCTTATCAAGGAAGGAAATTCTGACACATACGACAACATGAATGAACCTTGAGGACATTAATCAAAGTGAAATAAGCCAGTTATGAAAGGACAAATGCTTCCACTTCTATGAGGTGCCTGGAAGAGTCAAACTAATAGAGATAGAAAGCAGAATAGTGGTTGTCAGAGCCTGGGGGAAGAAGGGATAGGGAGCTAGTGCGTAATGGGCACAGAGTTTCAGTTTGGGAAGATGAAAAAGTTCTGGATGTGGATGGTGGAGAAGGGTGCATGACAATGGGAACGTGCTTAATGCCACTGAACTATACATTTATTTATTTATTTTTATTTTTATTTTTATTTTTATTTTTTGAGACGGAGTCTCGCTCTGTCGCCCAGGCTGGAGTGCAGTGGCCAGATCTCAGCTCACTGCAAGCTCCGCCTCCCGGGTTCCCGCCATTCTCCTGCCTCAGCCTCCCGAGTAGCTGGGACCACAGGCGCCGCCACCTCGCCCGGCTAATTTTTTGTGTTTTTAGTAGAGACGGGGTTTCGCCGTGTTAGCCAGGATGGTCTCGATCTCCTGACCTTGTGATCCGCCCGTCTCGGCCTCCCAAAGTGCTGGGATTACAGGCTTGAGCCACCGCGCCCGGCCTGAACTATACATTTAAACATGGTTTAAAGTGGCCAATTTAGTGTTATGTATATTTTACCACCATTAACAATTTTTAAAAGAGTACAAAAAAATCATTAAGAATTTCAAGATGCGGCCGGGAGCAGTGGCTCATGACTGTAATCCCAGCACTTTGGGAAGCTGAGGCGGGCGGGTCACCTGAGGCCGGGAGCTCGAGACCAGCCTGGCTCACATGGTGAAACCCTGTCTCTGCTAAAAAAAACAAAAAATATGCTGGGTGTGGTGGCAGATACCTGTAATCCCAGCTTCTTGGGAGGCTGAGGCAGGAGAATTGCTTGAACCCAGGAGGCGGAAGCTGCAGTGAGCTGAGATCGCACCACTGCACTCCAGCCTGGGCAACAAGAGCAAAACTCTGTCTCAAAAATAAATAAACAAACAAACAAACAAACAAATAAATAAATACTAAATGTGGAGTTCTTCTTGGCACAGGGCCCTGTGTGACTGCACAGGCTGCACGTCTGTGAAGCCAGCTCTGCTCGCCCTCAATCAGAAAAGGCTCTCCCTGGATAAAGAATTACCCTCTGCATGAACCATTCAGGAAGTCTGTTCCATTCCCGCTCCCCTTTCTCATCTTTTCCTCCTGTTTTCATTTTCTCCCTATTCTATTTCCAATCCCCTTTTCTCTTTCTCCTCACCCTCTGCCCTGCTGTCTGTAACCCAAACCCCATGGGAAAACGGTGGTAAAGCGACTAAAAGAACTTACTTGCTTTGTATTTGGGCAGTATCCAAAAAGCCAGAATTAGGATTATCACCAGCAGCAGCAGTAATAATCCTGGAAGCAGTAGCTTCAGACAGAAAGGACAGCTGTCTCCGCCTGGAAGAAGACAGCATCCACTGGTGACCATAGCATTTTCTTTGCCAATGACGTTAAGCCAGCAAGTGTTTTAGAAAAGGTGATGTCTCCCAATTTAACCAATGTACTATGCACCCAGGTTCCCAAATGGTCATGACATCTGCCACTTATGGGACTTACTAGTCAATAAAGTTATTGACTGGGCGTGGTGGCTCACACCTGTAATCCCAGCACTTTCGGAGATCAAGGACGGAGGATCGCCTGAGTCCAGGAGTTTGAGACCAGCCTGGGCAACATAGTGAGGCCCTTGTTTCTACAAAATAAATAAATACATAAAAATTAGCCAGGTGTGATGGCATGTGCCTATGATCCCAGCTACTCAGGAGGCTGAGGCAGGGGGAATCGCTTGACCCCAGGAGGTGGAGGCTGCAGTGAGCTACGACTGTGCCACTGTACTCCAGCCTGAGTGACAAAACCAGACCCTGTCTCAATAAATAAATAAGTTAAGAAATAAATAAAAATAGCCCGGGCGCAGTGGCTCACACCTGTAATCCTAGCACTTTGGGAGGCCAAGGCGGGTAGATCACCCGAGGTCAGGAGTTTGAGACCAGCCTGGCCAACATGGTGAAACCCCGTCTCTACCCAAAATACAAAAATTAGCTGGGCCTGGTGGCATGTGCCTGTAGTTCCAGCTACTTGGGAGACTGAGGCATGAGAATCACTTGAACCCGGGAGGCAGAGGTTGCAGTGAGCCGAGATCGTGCCATTGCACTCCAGACTGGGTGCGACTCCATCTCAAAATAAATAAATAAATACATAATAAAATAAGTAAAAATAATAAAGTTTAAAAAGTTATGAGCAAGCACATCTTCCACAGTGGTCATCCAAAGAAGAGAAAAGCAACGTTTCTGGGGTCATAAGCCCCAGAAAAGCCTGGATGTTTACTGGGCGAGGCCCTGAGCCCTGGCAGCACGTTTCGTGTCATCCAAACAGCTGCCAGTTTTTGAGTTTTAGCCGCAGGCCAGGCACTGTGTTAGGCACTTAGCCTGTGTTGTCTGACTTATCCTGTTGGCATCATTCCCATTTTATAGATGAAGTGAGTAAGGCTCAGGGAGGTGAAATGACTTTCCTAAGGTCACACAGGCAGTGAATGGAAGGGCTGTGACTCATAGCCAAATGCCTGACTCCAGCAGGCTGCCTCACTTGTTAGACCACCCTCACTGAATACCAGGGCGTAGGTTCTGTTCTGAGGATGTGGCTGGCTGGAGTGGTCAATGTCCAAGCATGCCTTGTGCCTTTGCTAACCTAGTTTTTCTTTTCTTTCTTTTTCTTTTTTCTTTCAGACAGGGTCTCGCTCTGTTGTGCAGGCTGGAGTGCAGGGCACGATGATCATAGCTCACTGCAGCCTCCACCTCTCAGGCTCAAGCAATCCTCCTACCTCATCCTCCCAGTAGCTGAGACCACAGGCGTGCACCACCACACCCGGCTAATTTTTTTTTATTTTCTGTAGAGACAGGGGTTTTGCCATGTTGCCCAGGCTGGTCTCAAACTCCTGGGCTCAAGTGATCTGCCAGTCACAGCCTTCCAAAGTGCTGGGATTACAGGTGTGAGTCACTGCACACGATCTAGTTTTCCTTCTATCCTTCTACCTTGACAAATGCACCCTCAGAAGGACCTGGAAGGTCAGGTTTGAATCTGGAATTCTCAGGCTTTCCAGAGTTTGGCATCAGGACGTGGCAGCATGGACCAAACCCACGGAAGTCCCGGGCTGCCCCACTTCCCACCTGGGCTCTGACCTGCACCCTAAGGGGCTTTGCATGCGCGTGGACGCCCCAGCCCACATGTGCAAACACCATCCACACCCCCCATAAACAGCTCCCTTGGCTCAGGTCCAGGGATGCTCATACCCTCACTGTGGGCCACCCTCGGGAGGATGAGCTGGGGGAGAGACTGGTACAGGCCCTGGAAATGGGTTCTGATCTGATTGGGCAGGGGATCTAGGTCCAGGTACCCAGAGTGTGGAGCAGAAAAGTGGGAGTATAAGGTCCAGGTGGGTGCATCCCCATGGCTCCCTGAACCCCTCAGCCTAGGGGAAGGTACATAGCCCGGAGGTACCAGACCAGAGTCCTCCAAACACAGAGCTTGGCCGGGGGCACCTCTTGCCCTGAGCCAAGGGTGGTGCAGGAGTCTGGACTCACCATTGTTAGCAGTGGAGCAACAAACAGCCAAGCAGGAAGGCATGGGTATTAGAAATCAGTACAAGACAGCCAGGCGCAGTGGCTCACGCCTGTTATCCCAGCACTTTGGGAGGCCGAGGTGGGCAGATCACTTGAGGCCAGGAGTTTGAGACCAGCCTGGCCAACATGGTGAAAACCCATCTCTACTGAAAATACAGAAATTAACCAAGCGTGGTGGCGGGTGCCTGTAGTCCCAGCTACTCAGGAGGCGGAGGCACGAGAATCTCTAGAATCTGCGAGGCAGAGGTTGCAATGAGCCGAGATTGCAGCGTTGCACTCCAGCCTGGGCAACAGAGTGACATTCTGTCTCAAAGAAAAAAAAAAAAAATAAAAGAAAAAGAGGAAGGAAGGAAGGAAGGAAGGAAGGAAGGAAGGAAGGAAGGAAGGAAGGAAGGAAGGAAGGAAGGAGGGAGGGAGGGAGGGAGGGAGGGAGGGTGGGAGGGAAGGAAGGAAGGAAGGAAGGAAGGAAGGAAGGAAGGAAGGAAGGAAGGAAGGAAGGAAACCAGGCAGGCAGGCAGGCAGGCAGGCAGACAACATGACAAAAAAAACAAAAACAAAGAAAACCGACCTGGCAGTTCCAAGAGAGGTGTAAACTGGAAGAGGAGGGCAGAAAGTTTCGCCATAAGTCCCCCTCCTGCTCCAGCTTCTAGGCTTTTCTATGGTTCCTTTATGGCAGAAAGCAACCCCATGAGAGTTTACGTGGACTCTATCATAGGGACCCTCCATGTGGAAGCAGGTGACCACGGTGGGAAATGGGCGGGCAGAGGAGCAGCTGCAGTTTCTGGAAGCGAGTTCAGACCTGGCTGAAAGACCTCAGGTCGCTCTTACCTGTTGACGGCGTGGTGACAGTTTGACTGTAGGCTGCATAGTCAGGCAATCTGTTTTTAGCTTCACACCTATACTCTTCCTCTTCTCCAGGATTCTTCCTGGTTAACTTAAATTCAGCAGACTCCCTGTCGTACTTGGAAATAGCTGGTGATATGGCAATATGCTTTTCAAAGAAAGTGTAATTGATGGGCAGCGAGCCATTGACTGAGAGGCAATGTAATGTTATATGTCGGTGTGTTTCTGTTTGAATGACCGTAATGTTCAGCACTGGGGCAGTCACCGGGTCTGGAAGAATGAAAGTGAACATGAAAAGGATAAACAGACTGGGCATGCTCACTCAGACCACAAATATGGGTGGAACCCTTACTCCATTCCAGGCTGTGGAACCAAGATGAACGACCCCCTTCCTGAGAAGTCAAGAAGCTCACGGCCCACTGGGAAAGGCCAATGGGCCTGTGGCCAACCCCGTGCAGTGTGGGGTTTGCCGAGGTTCTCAGCCCAGTGCTGAGAAAGCCAGAGAGTGGAGGGTATCTCTCTGCTTTGAGGAACTGGGGTACAAGGTTGCCCTTCCTAGAATTCACAATCTATTTATTGTTAATAATGAATATAATTTTGTCAATGATCCAGTTCTAAGTATGAAGTTGAGAAGTGGTTTTTTATGTTTATTTTTTATAGACATAGGGTCTTACCATGTTGGCCAGGTCAGTCTTGAACTCCTGGTCTCAAGTGATCCTCCCACCTTGAATTCCCAAAGTGCTGGGGTTATAGGCAGAAGCCACCACACTTGGCCCAAGATGTGCTTTTATTCTCATTCCTTGTAAATTTAGAGTGGGATTTTTTAATCCAAAAATATCATTTTCTTTTCAATGTATTTATTTATTTGGAGACAGGGTCTTGCTCTGTCAACCATGCTGGAGTGAAGTGGCACAATTATAGCTCACTGTAACCTCAAACTCCTGGGCTCAAGTGATCCTCCTGCCTCAGCCTCCCCTGGAGCTGGGACTACAGGTGCACACTGCTGGCTAATTTTTAAATGTTTTGTGGAGACAGGGTCTCGCTATGTTGCCCAGGCTGGTCTCAAACTCTTGGCTTCAAGTGATTTTCCCACCTCAGCCTCCCAAAGTGCTGGGATTTCAGGTGTGAGCCACCACGCCCAGCCCCCAAAATATCGTTTCCTCTAACGGTACTTTTATTTATAGAACTCAGCTGCACAATTATCTTTCACTTCCTCTGAAGAGCAGGAGTAACCCTGCTAGCTAGATTCAAGAGAAACTCTCAACAGGAAATGGGTCTGCTACACTCTGTTAGATCATAGCCTATTCTATAACCTAACAGAAAAACCCAGCTATACATTTTATTATATATGTATTAATAAGACAGTATTATAGGAAAGGAAGAAAAGTTGTTAAGTATCTATCATGTGCCAGGCATGCCATTCACATGATCTCATTTGACCTTCACGACAGTCCTGCAGTGTGGATAGTATCATACCCATTCCACAGATGAACCAACTGTGCTTCAGAGAGATTGAGAAATTTGCCCAACGTCACACAGCTAGTAAATGGCTCAGTCAGCACTAACTTCAAGAGTCCATACTTAAAAACAATTTTTTTTAAAAAATGTACTTTCTTTTTTGTTTTGAGACGGAGTCTCACACTGTTGTCCAGGCTGGAGTGCAGTGGCACGATCTCGGCTCATTGCAACCTCTACCTCCCAGGTTCAAGCAACTCTCCTGCCTCAGCCTCCCAAGTAGCTGGGGATTACAGGTGCCCACCACCATGCCTGGCTAATTTTTGTATTTTTAGTACAGACAGGGTTTCACCATGTTGGCCAGACTGGTCTTGAACTACTGACCTCAAGTGATCTGACCCCACTCAACCTCCCAAAGTGCTGGGATTACAGGCGTGAGCCACCGCAGCCGGCCCTGTGTTCTCTTTAAACATTTGATGAGTGAGCACTTTGGGAGGCCGAGGCGGGCGGTTCACGAGGTCAGGAGATTGAGACCATCCTGGCTAACATGGTGAAACCCCGTCTCCAGTAAAAATACAAAAAAAAAAAAAAAATTAGCCGGGCGTGGTAGCGGGTGCCTATAGTCCCAGCTACTAGGGAGGCTGAGGCAGGAGAATGGCGTGAACTCGGGAGGCGGGGCTTGCAGTGAGCTGAGATGGCACCACTGCACTCCAGCCTGGGCGACAGAGCAAGACTCTGTCTCAAAAAAAAAATAAAAATAAAAAATTGATGAGTGAATCAGTGGTTAATGAATTTGTGTTTATGGCTCATAGTTTCAACCTTGACTGGGTTGGGGACAACACTGTGTTTTAGGCCTCATTAAAAACCCAGTAGCACAATTGCTTGCACAGAGTAGGTACTCAGTAGTGCCTGTTGATCTGCCCTAACTGAAGATAATACAGTTTTATAATCTACCAAGATAGTTTTATTACCGGACTGTGTAATTATCCTAACAAATTGCAGGAAGGTCGTGCACAGAAAACATATGAACCAATGGGCTTATTGCCCAGCGCAGCAGGAGTCTGACCACTAGAGAATACCATCAGCTATGTTCCTGCCCTCACATATCCATCGTGTTCCAGTACCATGTTTGCAGGGATTTTCCCCCTCCTTCTTCCTTTTCCTTTCACAAGGAATATACTCAGTTTATGTCCAAAGATCATTGGGATTTTTTTTTTTTTTTCTTGAGACAGGGTCTCTCTCTGTCACCCAGGCTGGTGTGCAGTGGTGCAATCACGGCTCACTGCAGCCTTCAACTCCTGAGCTGAGGCAATCCTCCCAACTCAGCCTCCTGAGTAGTTGGCACTATAGGCATGCCACCATGCTCAGCTACATATATATATATATTTTAACTTTTTGTAGACACATGGTCTCCATATAATGCTCAGGCTGGTCTCAAACTCCTGGGCTCGGGTGATCCTCCTGCCTCAGTCTCCCAAAGTGCTGAGATTACACCTGTGAGCCACTGCACCTGGCCAAGATACTGGGTTCGAACCTGGAGTCTGTAGCATCCTCTAAAACCTTATGCAGAAATTTGTATCTGCAGTTTTATGAATATTTCTCTGGAGAAGGTATTCATTGCTATCATTAGATTATTAAGACAGTTATAACCTAAAAAGCTAAGAATCACTGAGCTACAGCAATGTCACCCAGCAGAACTTTCTGTGATGATGGGAATGGTCTACATCTGTGTTGTCCAATGTGGTGGCCACCAGCTACAGGTGTGGCTACCAAAGCCTTGAAATGTAACTAATGAGACTGTGGAGTGAAATTTTTTATTTCATCTAATTTTCATTAACTTGATTTCAATTATGACATGTGCTTGTAATCCCAGCTATTCAGGATGCTGAGGTGGGAGGATCTCTTAAGAACAGGAGTTTGAGACTGCGGTGGACTTTGATTTTCTGTGAGTAGCCTCTGCACTCCAGCCTGGGTGACATAGGCTATTAAATTAATAAATTTTGGCCAGGAGTGGTGGCACACGCCTGTAATCCCAGCACTTTGGGAGGCTGAGGTGGGTGGATCACCTAAGGTCAGGAGTTCAAGACCAGCCTGGTCAACATGGTGAAACCCCATCTCTATTAAAAATACAAAAATTAGCTGGACGTGGTGGTACGTGCCTGTAATCCCAGCCACTTGGGAGGCTGAGGTGGGAGAATTACTTGAACTGAAAGGCAGAGGTTGCAGGGAGCTGAGATCATGCCACTGCACTCCAGCCTGGGTGACAGGGCGAGATTCCATCGGTGGGAGAATTACTTGAACTGAAAGGCAGAGGTTGCAGGGAGCTGAGATCATGCCACTGCACTCCAGCCTGGGTGACAGGGCGAGATTCCATCGGTGGGAGAATTACTTGAACTGAAAGGCAGAGGTTGCAGGGAGCTGAGATCATGCCACTGCACTCCAGCCTGGGTGACAGGGCGAGATTCCATCTCAAGAAAGAAAGAAAGAAAAGAAAGAAAGAAAGAAAGAAAGAAAGAAAGAAAGAAAGAAAGAAAGAAAGAAAGAAAGAAAGAAAGAAAGAAAGAAAGAAAGAAAGAAAGAAAGAAAGAAAGAAAGAAAGAAAGAAAGAAAGAAAGAAAGAAAGAAAGAAGGAAAGAAGGAAAGAAGGAAAGAAGGAAAGAAGGAAAGAAGGAAAGAAGGAAAGAAAGAAAGAAGGAAAGAAGGAAAGAAGGAAAGAAGGAAAGAAGGAAAGAAGGAAAGAAGGAAAGAAGGAAAGAAGGAAGGAAGGAAGGAAGGAAGGAAAGAAGGAAGGAAGGAAGGAAGGAAGGAAGGAAGGAAGGAAGGAAAGAAGGAAAGAAGGAAAGAAGGAAAGAAGGAAAGAAGGAAAGAAAGAAAGAAAGAAAGAAAGAAAATAAAACAAAATAAACAAATTTAAACAGTATCATACTGGATAGCACAGACACAGAGGACCACTCAAGAGTTCTCAGGAAGTCAGGGTCCCTGTGCTTTGAAGACTCCAGGTGTAACATACATGTGTTTCCTAGAAGACTTTCTCCTCTCCCAGGAGTCCATTATCAAGGTCACCTTCACAGATGAGGCCCTTAATGCTAGGCAGTAACGAGCTTGGGATGGGAAAATGGGACAGAAAAACATAGCAGTGAGTGCTAGCAAAGGGGCCCCGGACACTAAGGAAGCGGTGGGAAAGGCCTGGGGCTTTGAAGACCCTCTCCATGGGGCCCAAGGCTTCAGAAAAAAAAAAAAAAGTGATTTTTGCCCACACAATGGGAATCACAGAATAAAGTTCCTAGAAAAGACCTCAACAATTATTGTTGAGATATAAGACTTTTGCCTAAAGATATAAGACTATTACCTGACATGGTCGAAAGTCTTTGAAAGAGAAGGTGAAATGGAATTATTAAGAATAGAGAACTCACTGGGCGCAGTGGCTCACCCCTGTAATCCCAGCACTTTGGGAGGCTGAGACAGGCGGATCACCTGATGTCAGGACTTCGAGATCAGCCTCACCAACATGGTGAAACCTCGTCTCAAGTAAAAATACAAAAATTAGCCAGGTGTGGTGATGGGTGCCTATAATCCCAGCTACTTGAGAGGCTGAGGTAGGAGAATGTCTTAAACCCGGGAGGTGGAGTTTGCAGTGGACCAAGATTGTACCACTGTACTCCAGCCTGGGCAACAGAGTGAGACTCTGTTTCAAAAAAAAAAAAAAAGAATACAGATCTCAAAAATTAAAAAATTAAAAATACTTCCTGTTGACCAGGTCTAAAAATAAATAATAAATAAAAAAAGAATAAAGATCGCAGTAACATACTTTCCAGGTTGTTGAGTGTTCACAAGGGTCATGGAGAGCCCCTCATAGAACCAGAAAAGACCCTATAAATTATAGGGCTCCAAGGAACAGGTGCTCTACTTACCGACAATTGTGAAGTTGAAGTCACGGCTGTATTTTGAACAGCTGTAAACTTGGGCTTTGCATTTGTAGGGTCCTGATTCATGGGCTTCTGTGATGCTTAGGTTAAAAATTGCAGGTTCACCTTTTCCATTCTGGGTTCCCAGGTGTGTCTTATGTCGAAACAATGAATAGGTGATCTGCAGTGATTTGTTCTTATGGGAGCAAAACATAGATACATTTTGACCCTTCATAACCACATTAGTCTTCGAGTCCAAACATGGAGAAGGGAATTCTGAAAAACCAAATGACACAAGAAAAAGTCCTTGTTAAGATCCCGGCTGGGCAAGGTGGCTCACGCCTGTAATCCCAGCACTTTGGGAGGCCAAGGCAGGTGGATCACTTGAGGCCATGAGTTTGAGACCAGCCTGGGCAACATGGCAAAACCCTGTCTCTACTAAAAATACAAAAATTAGCCAGCACGGTGGCGGGCACCTGTAATCCCAGCTACTCAGGAGGCCAAGGCAGGAGAATTGCTTGAACCCGGAAGGTGGAGGTTGCAGTGAGCCAAGATCATGCCACTGCACTCCAGCCTGGGCGACAGAGTAATACTATTTCAAAAAATAAAAATAAAAAATAAACAAAAAGTTATTGAAGCTGGGTGTGGTGGTTCACGCCTATAATCCTAGCACTTTGGAAGGCTGTGGTGGGAGGATCGCTTGAGGTCAGGGGTTCGAGAACAGCCTGGGCAACATAGAGAGCCCTCATCTCTAATTTTTAGAAAGCAAAACAGAACAAACAAAACATAGCTGGGACCAGTGGATGGCTTGGGTGGAAGACAGATTTAGACTCTTCAAAAATGCTTTTAAAAATGCAATAAACTCTTCTCCCACTCTTTGATCTGGACAATTAACATTTTCTCAGTCTTACATAAACTCAATCTTTTTTTTTTTTTTTTTTTTTTTGGAGACAGAATCTCACTCCGTTGCCCAGGCTGCAGTGCAGTGGCATGATCTTGACTTACCACAGCCTTGAACTTCCAGGGTCAACTGATCCTCCTGCCTCAGCCTCCTGAGCAGCTGGGACGATAGGCACACGTCACCATGCCCAGCTAAGTTTTGTAGTTTTGGTAGAGACAGTGTTTCACCATGTTGGCCAGGCTGGTCTTGAACTCCTGACCTCAAGTGACTGCCTGCCTCAGCCTCCCACAGTGCCGGGATTACAGGTGTGAGTCACTGTGCCCCGCCATATAAACTCAACTTTAAGACAAGACTTAAACTACTTTTCCAACCAAATAGCCAACCCTAAGTTTTTTCTAATATAGGAACACTAGAGCGTTTGTGGCCAGTAAACATGAAAAAAGATGCTCAACTTCACAAGTGATGAGGCAACTACAAATTAAAACAACACTGAGATATCATGTTTTGCTCATCAGATTGGCATAAATTTTAAAAATGATTGGCCAGGCACGGTGGCTCACGCCTGTAATCCCAGCAATCTGGGAGGCCGAGGCGGGCAGATCTCTTGAGTCCAGGAGTTCGAGACCAGCCTGGGTAAATGGTGAAACCCTGCCTCTACTAAAAATACAAAAATTAGCTGGGCATGGTGGCGCACACCTGTATGGCACTACTTGGGAGGCAGCGGAAGCGGGAGGATCAATTGAGCTTGCAAGGTCAAGGCTGCAGAAAGCTGAGATCGCACCACTGCACTCCAATCTGGGCGACAGAGCAGAGACTCTGTCTCAGAGAAAGAAAGGAAAAAAAAAAAAAAAACCCTAAATAAAATTAAAAAGTAAAAGTGATTATATCCACCGTTGGGGAGTGGGTGTCACCGTTGGTGACAGATAGGATACGATCAGCCTTGTTGGGAGGGCAACTTAGCAGGGTCTGTAACAATTTAAATGTGTATGCCCTCTGACCTTGCAATTTCAATTCTAGAATTTCATTCTACAGAGATGCTTTCAAGCTCTCAAGCATCCATAAAGGATGTTTTGTACAAGGATGTTTACTGTAGCATTGTTTATATTGCCCCCAAAAAGTGGAACAATAAATAAGGATGGTTGAAAGAATCATGGCTGAGTCTTAAAACACCATGCAGCTGTTGAAAAAGAGGAACTGAGGCCGGGTGTAGTAGCTCATGCCTGTAACCCCAGCACTTTGGGAGGCCGAGGCGGGAGGATCACGAGGTCAAGAGTTCAAGAACAGCTTTGCCAGCATGGTGAAACCCCGTCTCTACCAAAAAAAAAATACAAAAATTAGTCAGGCATGGTGGCGCCTGTAATCCCAGCTACTCGAGAGGCTGAGGCAGGAGGATCCCTTGAAACCAGGAGGCAGAGGTCACAGTGAGCTGAGATTGCGCCACTGTACTCCAGCCTGGGCAACAAGGTGAAACTCTGTCTCAAACAAACAAACAAAAAAAAAAAAAAAAAGAAAGAAAAAGATGAGCTAAATCGATATCTACTACTTAGAAAAGATGTCTATAATATATTAAGTTAAAAGAAAGTCACAGACGAGTTTATTCACTATGATACCGAATACAAAATGACTGTTGATAGCAGTTGCTTCTGGAAGTAGGAGGGGGAGAAGGATTGGAGGAGGATTGTAATGGAACTTTTACATTTTATACAGTAACAACAACCATTTTGACTATCACTTATGGATGGTTTACCATATGCCTGGCACTGTGACGAGGAGCAGGGATTGTCTCATTTGATCTGCACACTAGCCTACCAGGTAGGTGCTTTTTTATTAGCCCACTTCACAGATGAAAGAAATTACGGTGTCCCACGCCTGTAATCCCAGCACTCTGGGAGTCCGAGGAGGACGGATCATGAGGTCAGGAGATCGAGACCATCCTGGCTAACAAGGTGAAACCCCATCTCTACTAAAAATATAAAAAAGTAGCCGGGCTTGGTGACATATGCCTATAGTCCCAGCTACTCGGGAGGCTGAGGCAGGAGAATCGCTTGAACCCAGGAGGCAGAGGTTGCAGTGAGCCGAGATCGCGCCACTGACTCCAGCCTGGGCGACAGAGCAAGACTCTGTCTAAAAAAAAAAAAAAAAAAAAGAAATTAAGGTCAAAGTCGGTATGTCATGAGCTCAGGCTGCTGGCTAGTAACTAGTAGAACCAGAGTTAGACCACTTCCCAATGTATATTTCTAGTGTTGCTTGAATTATTTCACAATAATTCTGTGGGGTTTTTTTTTTTTTTTTTTTTTTTAAGAAATGAGGTCTCACTATGTTGTTCAGGCTGGCTCCGAACTCCTGAGCTCAAGCAATCCTACCCCATTAGCCTCCCAAAGTGCTGGGATTACAGGCCTGAGGCACCACGCCCAGTCTGTGTGTTGGCTTTATAGTTAAAACACAACAACCATAAAACAATAACAAGGAAAGTTAGGAAACTTTCATTGTGAAAACGATTTCAATATTTTGTCACTGAGTCTCAGCGCTGCAATCCCCTCCCTAAAATCATTTTATTTTAAGTAATAGATAATTGAAAAGACCATTCTTTGGTTGTTCATAAAAGTTCAGAAACACTTTCGAATGGACGCTCATGTTGCAATCAGACTGTCTCACCACTTCAACGAAAATGGTTTCAGTAAGAAAGAAGTGAAACTTACCATCTGTTTTCATTGCCTCACAATCCAATACAGCTTTTCTACCTGAAAGAGAGAAAAGGAACACGATTAAGCTCACTTTCCACATGACGCGTTGGCTTAGAGGTTTGAGCCTCAAAATAATAAGGGGAGCTTACATGTGACAGAAGAAAATACGCTCCAGAGAAGGAGCCTGTTCAAATGTCTCCACATTCTCCCAGATGAAGTCCAAGACGGGGTCAGAAGGCATAGTAGCACCACAGTAGTGAGTCACTCGGAGAACTTCCTCTTTTTCTTGGCCAAGTTAAGGAAATCAGAGGGTTTGGACGAGCTTTGCATAATATGACTGGTTCGTTCGACCAATCTGTTTTCCTCTATGAGTTCCTATAAGAAGAGAGATATTTGGTAGACTGTCACCCGCCCCCCACACCCCCTGCCACCCGGTCCCACGCTGGCTGGGAAAGAGAAAAGGAGGTAAATCTGACTGTTACATTGTCTATGTAAACCCACCTGATCTCCTTGCTCTGGACTCAGTCTATGCTGAAAGGAGTTTAGTGGAAGTTCGGTTTAGTCTTTGGAAGCAAACTGACTGTCTTAAGCAGATAATACAAATATTGTATCAAAAATGCCTTTTTTTTTTTTTTTTTTTTTTGAGACTGGCCTCACTCCGTCACCCAGATTGGAGTGGAGTGCTGTGATCATAGCTCATTGCAGCCTCAAACTCCTGGGCTCAGGTGATCCTCCCACTTCAGCCTCCTGAGTAGCTGGGCCCACAGGTGTGCACCACCATGCCTGGCTAATCATTTTTATTTGTAGAGACAGAGGTCTAGTTGCCCAGGCTGGTGTTAAACTCCTGAGCTCAAGTGATCCTCCCACCTCTGCCTCCCGAAGTGCTGGGATTACAGGTGTGAGCTACTGTGCCTAGCCAAAAATGCCTGCTTTCATTCACTATTGATTCCTAGACCCCACTCCAGACTGAACGGGTTTGAAGTCTGTGACTCTGATTTTTTTTTTTTTTAAAACAAGGGCCCCAAGCAATTCTTACACATAGTGAAGTCTGAGAAATATTTGTACAAGATGCTGCTGCCTCAGTGATTTCTGAATCAAGGGAGCCTTGGGGACTTGTTATTACGGCGAGCCCTCCAGTGTCAGGAGATCTGAGGTAGGAGTTAACTTAGATCAGCCTTTAAAATAAAACATGCAGGCCAGGTGTGGTGGCTCATGCCTGTAATCCTAGCACTTTGGGAGGCCGAGGCGGACGGATCACCTGAGATCAAGCGTTTGAGACCAGCCTGGCCAACACCGCAAAACCCCATCTCTAGTAAAAATACAAAAAAATTAGCTGGGCATGGTGGCGTGCGCCTGTAATCCCAGCTACTTGGGGGGCTGAGGCAGGAGAATTGCTTGAACCCAGGAGGTGGAGGTTGCAGTGAGCCGAGATTGCACCACTGCACTCCAGCCTGGGTGACAGAGTGAAACTCCATCTCAAAAAAAAAAAAAAAAAGTCAATTGAAATAGGATGTGCAGAGCCACTTCTTGATGGAGTGGAGATCACCAAAAGGATAGAAAGGTATGACTATGGGGCTAGGTGGGCAAGACAGCTGGTCGACACATGCAAGAATTGACAGGTCCACCAAGAGAGGAAGCAAGGAGCTGAATGGCAGGGGTGGCCTTGAGCTGGAACATTCATCTCTGTGCCTTAGTTCCCAAGGTGTAACCAAATCCCTCCTTATTGACTTAGGGTCACCTAGCTAGGGGGTTTGACAGAGTCTCGCTCTGTCTCCCAAGCTGGAGTGTAGTGGTACCATCTTGGCTCACTGCAACCTCCACTTCCCAGAATCAAACTATCCTTCCACCTCAGCCTCTCTAGTAGCTGGGACCACAGGCACAAACCACCATACACTACTAAGTTTTTAACTTTTTTGTAGAGACGAAGTCTCACTATATTGCCCAGGCTGGTTTTGAACTCCTGGGCTCAAGCGATCCTCGTGCGTGTGGCCTCCCAAAATGCTGGGATTACAGGCATGAGCCACTATGTCCAACCCTTACTACAACAGCTTTACAGCACTTTGTAAAAGTTTGCATGGGTGAACTGTCAGACACATGTGCAAAATTCCATCAACTTTTTCTTTTCTTCACATCTGCAATGTTTTTCATCAGCATCCTGTCACTTTTCAGCTACCACTGCTGGCCAGCTGGAAAAGAGCAGACAACCATAGGATCATTCCCCGCATCCACATTTTCTTTCTCTTTCTTTTTTTGAGATGGAGTCTCTCTCTGTTGCCCAGGCTGGAGTGCAGTGGCCCTATCTTGGCTCACTGCAACCTCCACCTCCTGGGTTCAAGGGATTCTCCTGCCTCGGCCTTCCAAGTAACTGGGATTACAAGTGTGTGCCACCACGCCTGGCCAATTTTTTGTATTTTTAGTAGAGACAGGGTTTCACCATGTTAGCCAGGATGGTCTCGATTTCCCAACCTCGTGATCCACCCGCCTCGGCCTCCCAAAGTGCTGGGATTACAGGTGTGAGCCACGGCGCCTGGCCCTTTTTTTTTTTTTTTTTTTCTGAGATGGGGTCTTTCAAAAGTACAGTTCTGAATCAAGGGAGCCTTGGGGTCTTGCTATTATGGTGAGCTCTGCAGTGCCAGGAGAACTGAGGTAGGAGTAAACTTAGATCAGCCTTTGAAATAGAATGTGTGAGGCCGGGTGCAGTGGCTCATGCCTGTAATCCCAGCACTTTGGGAGACTGAGGTGGGTGGATCACTTGAGATCAGGAATTTGAGACCAGCCTGGTCAACACGGCGAAACCCTGTCTCTAGTAAAAATTTAAAAAATTAGCTGAGTGTGGTGGCAAGTGCCTGTAATCTCAGCCACTTGGGAACCTGGGAACCGGAGGTTGCAGTGGCCTGAGATCGTGCTACTGCAGCTATTACTCAAGTCTAAAAATACTAGAAGTTGCCTATATATATATATATATATTTTTTCGTTGCCAGACATGTCTGCAATTTGTGCTGGATCTGATAGAGAAACCATTTCCATGGGTCTATACAAAAATGTGGAGCCAGGGGTGGTGGCTCACTGGTAATCCCAGCACTTTGGGAGTGCCACTGCACTCCAGCCTGGGCGACAGAGTGAGACTCCGTCTCAAAAAAGAAAAAAATATATATTTTTTTAATGGTGATATAGAAGAACATTTCATGATGTGGTAAGAGAACCACAATATACTTAAGAAAAGAGAAAAGCTATTATTAACAGTTGTAATAACATAAATCATTTTTCTAAATAAGAAAGTGCATGATTTATATTCATAGAAAAACTCTCTGGAGTCCAGGTACAGTGGCTCATGCCTGTATTCCCAGCACTTTGGGAGACTAAGATAGGTGGATCACTTGAGCCCAGGAGTTTGAGACCAGCCTGAGCAATGTAATGAGATCTTGTCTCTAAATTTAAAAAGAAAAGGAAAAGAAAGGAAAGGAAGAAAGAAAGAGAAAAACTATCTGGAAGGATATTTTCTCAAAATGTTAACAATAGCCATATCTGGAGAGTAGAATATTTTTATTTTCTTTTTTTTATTATTATACTTTAAGTTCTAGGGTACATGTGCACAACGTGCAGGTTTGATACATACGTATACACGTGCCATGTTGGTTTGCTGCACCCATCAACTCATCATCTACATTAGGTATTTCTCCTAATGCTATCCCTCCCCTAACCCCCCACCCCCTGACACACCCCAGTGTGTGATGTTCCCCTCCCTGTATCCAAGTGATCTCATTGTTCAGTTCCCACCGATGAGTGAGAACATGCGGTGTTTGGTTTTCTGTCCTTGTGATAGTTTGCTGAGAATGGTGGTTTCCAGCTTCATCCATGTCCCTGCAAAGGACGTGACTCATCCTTTTTAATGACTGCATAGTATTCCATGGTGTGTATGTGCCACATTTTCTTAATCCAGTCTATGATTGATGGGCATTTGGGTTGGTTCCAAGTCTTTGCTATTGTGAATAGTGCCACAATAAACATACATGTGCATGTATCTTTATAGTAGCATGATTTATAATCCTTTGGGTATATACCCAGTAATGGGATTGCTGGGTCAAATGGTATTTCTAGTTCTAGATCTTTGAGGAATCGCCACACTGTCTTCCACAATGGTTGAACTAATTTACCAGCTTTTATTTTCTTATTCTAGCTCCTCTTTCTTTTCTTTTTCTTTTTTTTTTTTTTTTGAGACGACGTCTCGCTCTTGTCCCCCAAGCTAGAGTGCAATGGCACGATCTTGGCTCACTGCAACCTCCACCTCCTGGGTTCAAGCAATTCTCCTGCCTCAGCTTCCCAAGTAGCTGTAACTACACGCGCCTGCCACCACGCCCGGCTAAATTTTGTATTTTTAGTAGAGACGGGGTGTCACCACATTGGCCAGGCTGGTCTCGAACTCCTAACCTCAGGTGATCCGCCCTCCTTGGCCTCCCAAAGTGCTGGGATTACAGTCATGAGCCACCGCGCCCGGCCGCTCCTCTTTCAATTATTTCTTTCCACATTAATATTCTTATTATGGAGAAGGAGGAAAGATGGGATAATGACAGACCTTGACACGTTTCCTTGGTCCTCCATAAGGAGAAAGAGCCTCCTCTAAGCCTGACAGCACGGTGCACTGAGTGAGGACAGGAGGTTGGGACATTTCCCAGAGGCTTGGGTTCAAAACCACTGAGGTATTGGGAAACATAAAGTAACTTTTACATGGAAGGTAAAAACAAGATCCTTTCCTCAAAAGACCCACCTGGAGCCCATACTTGCACTCAGGCAACCCACAGGCTTGCAACAACAGGGTCTTTTTTTTTTTTTTTTTTTTTTTTTTGAGATGGAATCTTGTTCTGTCACTCAGGCTTGAGTACAGTGGCACAATCTCGGCTCACTGCAGCTTCTACCTCTCAGGTTCAAGTAATTCTCCTGCCTCAGCCTCCCAAGTAGCTGAGATTACAGGTGCCAACCATAATGCCCAGCTAATTTTTGTATTTTTTTTTTTTAAACAGAATTTCACTCTTGTTGCCCAGGCTGGAGTGCAATGGCATGATCTTGGCTCACTGCAACCTCTGCCTCCCAGGTTCAAGTGACTCTCCTGCCTCAGCCTCCTGAGTAGCTGGGATTACAGGTGCCCATCACCATGCCCAGCTAATTTTTGTATTTTTAGTAGTGATGGGGTTTCATCATGTGGCTGAGGCTGGTCTTGAACTCCTGACCTCAGGTGATCCCCCCACCTTGGCCTCCCAAAGTGCTGGGATTACAAGTGTGAGCCACCATGCCCAGCCTAAACCTCTTTTCTTTATATATTACCCAGTCTTAG